CAGAGATCAATGGGTTAAGGGGTTGCTTCATTGCTTTTCTTCCCACTTCCATCGAGGTCCATCCAATTCTCTTCTTATGTTTCTTCAAAACCTGTAAAAGTTTATTATCTTCATCAAAATCAAGGTTAGAAGAAATTATAACTGGAAGCTTTTTATCCATATCTGAATAAGCATAATTCAGATTGGTATGAAGTGGTTTAAGCTCCAAGGGGGAAGGTTGTTCAATGGATGGTGAGGTTGGGGCAGCCGTGATGTTAAGAGTTTTAGCTACATAAACAACTTCATCTGCATGAAAAACATCACCCTGTACGACAACATTAATCTCAGCACAAACAGAACAAATGTTAGTGTCGGTACATGAATCACAAGAGTAAGTATCATCATAATCTAATAAAGATGGAAAATTAGATAACAACTCAGGATGAATATCATCAACTAAATCAGATGGTAACTCTTTTGGATTCACTACTGTTTGGGCAGATAGTTAGTTTGATTCTTGAGCTTGTTGCATGGCATTCAGTATATTGGCAAACTGTTCAATCTGTGTCTGCAGAGCCTGAAGACTTGAATCTGTTTGTTGCTGAAACTGAAGATCATTTATAGCCATTTGCTTGACAAGGTCCTCTAATGAAGGTTCAGAAGGTGTAGAGCATACAATTTGGAATTCATTCATATGCTTATTCGGATCCTCACCTGCAAGTCCATTAAGCCTTGGCAACAAGTGTATTAAATCAGATTCCAATTCGAAAGGTACACTAACAACAGGATATTCCATACATAAAGCATTATAGTTCGTATCATAGGCAACAAGTTCTCTAAGAGTTATTTGATTTGTCATATTAAATTTAATAGGAAAATCAACAAAGAAAATAAAACAAAGAACAAATTCGGCAATGCAGCAACAATTAGAAAAATACCAATAATGTCCCCGTTAAGAAAAAGAATGGAAAAATAGAAAACCGAATAAAATTAAATCTAAAAATTATAAAAATATAACTAAAAATCAAATAAAATCAGAATGAGTCAATAAAAAAAATTTCGGATTTTTTTGAAAATATGAAAATAGAAAAAAAATAAAATAAAATAGAAAAATAAATAATTTGCGATTTTCAGGGTCAAAATCTTTTAGAATTCTATTCTAAATGAGTATTGTTAAACGATTTATTTCTGATTTTCTGGAAAAAATTCGGAGCAAATCGGAACAATAGCTTACAAACTCACCTGATAGGCTGAAACGCTTACCACTGTACTGCAACCCTGAAAATTTACACACAAAAACAAAAAACAAAAAAAACAAAAACTCTAAAATTAAAATTTTACATTTGGCTAAAATTAATAAGAATCCCCGGCAACGGCGCCAATTTGATCCGCGGTCGCTCGTGGATCAAAAACGAGTTATTTTTGTAAAAATGTAATATAGCGACAAATGACTCGAAATATCGTTCTCACAAGGATTCTTGTATTATTTCAACCAACTAAAGAAAATGTTTATGGGGGTTTTAAGTTTTGATTTATAAAATAAGAAAAAAAAAGTGATTAAAAAAAGTGATTATCAGATAAACTAAAACGGTTAATCCTACTGATTCGGGTTCCGACTTATCATCGGTTATTATAACATCAATCCCTAAGCGGTACCAATCCTATTCGATTATGATATTAATCAGACAAGCGCTTATCAACATCAAATGAATTATGTTCCTGTTTACCGAATTAAGCAAACGGTTAAGAATATGACGAATTAACGAATTAAGCAAACGATAATACGCAATTAAATTTAGGAACATGCATACAATCGAATTTAACCAATTCTATCCTATGAACAACAATTGAATTAAGCAAACAATTGTAATCAAATTAAGCAGATGACTTCATAGAAAAGGATTGAAAGGAATCAGAGTAAATTGACATAATAATAACCTCAAAGTGTTGAAACCGTACACAGCAGGATTTGCCCGGAGGTATTAGTTCTCCATGAAAACTATAAAACAAAGGAAAAAATTCGGAAAAATAAACTAGGTCCATGTTTTGGATCACAACAACAACTTTAAATAGAAAATAACTGGGCCAGAAACCTAAACTAGACCCGCAAGGAAAACTACATTGTCACAAGTCAGAAACTTCAACAAATTATTCGAGACTCAAGAAATCCGAATCAGCTCCTTTGTGTAACATGAAAGTTGTAGATCTCTTTCTTAGCTTTCCAACGACTGGTAGAATGCCTCAATCCGATTCCTGTAGCTCCAGTTATGAATTTTTCACTAAAAGCTATTAATGCTGAAAAATAACAAACGAAAATTAAATAAAGCTTAAAATAAAATAAATTGTAAAAACATTATAAAATAGGAAATTAAATAAACTAAATGGTAGAAATGCCTAAGTCTAAACATAGAGGAAGGTACATTAAAATGCACTGATCACACTAAAAAAATTTGGTCCGATATTTTCAAGTGAATTAACCTCTTACATAATATGGGAGATTGAGATTCAGAATTTCACTGGGTTTGCCATGTGACGCGTGAAAAAATGTAGCAAAAATAGAATTCATAAAAATTGCTATAATTGAAATTATGTACATAATTTGAACAATTCGTAAAGACTATTTTCAAAATAAGACGATTGACTCGCTCCATATCAGTGACGTGATTAACATTATTTTTCTAGAGTTATTAGTAATAGAAAATTTGACATATATTCTAATTTTTTTAATAAAATTACAAGGATTACTAATCAATTATACCATAACCTTATATTTTTAATTTTTCTAATTTTCACAACAATAAAAAATATTAAATAAACAAATTTTCTTTAACAAATAACTAAAAAACTCAATTAATATAATAAATTTTCCTTTAAAAAATAAAACATTAAATATAAAATAAAATAAAATATTCAAAAACATATATTTGAAATTAATATGTCAATTATGTAGGAAATTATGTTTTATTATATAAAGTTGCAGGCGGAACACTGTCCGCGGGTAACCCATATTTCTAGTAGTAGACATTCGAAGATTTTATTTGCGAAAAGTCATTGTCACATGAGGGTGTAATTTCCATTAATGAAAAATAGAACTCATTTAGAATTTTTATTTTGATTAAGTTGACTAATAGAAATGCACGGATTACATGTGGAAAATTATTCGCACGTACTTATAAAATACAAAGTTTCTTGCGGGTTTAGCTGTGAATTATTTCGCAGGAAATAATCTCCTTGAAGTCGCAGAGTCCTCTGAAATTTCGCAGGAATTGCTACGAATTTTGCTGTGGATTTCTTAGTACTAATTTTTTTTAGTTATTTTTATTTTTACTATTATTAAATAAAACTGGAATATTGATTTGAAGGATATTTTTTTGAGATATTTTTATTTTATATTAAATTTTATTTTATTTTTAAAGAAAATTTATTGATTTTTTTAAAAAAAAAATTGTTTATTTAATATTTATTTATTGTTGTGAAAATTGAAAAAATTAAAAATATAAGTTTATGATAAAATTGATGAGATTAATTAATATACACTATCAGTTTATCATCATCATCCGTTGGTTTAAATTTATAAATAATTAAAATAAAAATTAAATTTCTTTTAACATCTAATTGTTATAATTAACTGACAATGTAAAATTATTTTATATTGTCACTGAATTTCAATTAAATCCAAAATTAATATATAACTCTTTAACTTGTTGTATTAGAAATGTAAATTTAAAAGTTTTTGTTATTGATTTTATAGTAATATTTAACAATTTGGTTGTTCTTAAAATTTGAATGTAATTAGTTTTGAATTGTCTTATTTAAATTAGAATTTTATTTTTATATTATTGTTACTTTGATGTTTAATATTAATTTTAATATTTTAAAAATAATGGATTTTTTTAATTTAATATTTTTAAAATAAAACATTTTTTTTATAAAATTCTAGTAAATTTAATTATTTTCTAAAAATAATAATAGTCTTTATTTAAATTTTAGCAAAATTATTTTGTATTTCTTTTTAATTTTAAAATTCAAATTTATTAGTTTAAAGATAATTTTAACACATTAATCTCATTTAATTTTAAAGATTTCATAATCTTTATAAGATTTTTGAAAAAATATTTATAAAATTAGAATGAAGTTTCTAAACTCTATTAGTTCTATTTTACTAATTATTTTTAAGTTATTTTTTAATTTTAATTTCAATCATATTTTTTAAAGAAAATATTAGTTTGACTTCTTCTTCCTCGCTTTCCCAACCCTAATCTGCAGCATTTTCGGCTTCGAAAACCCTCGCGCCGCTTCACCTTCATCTAGCGGTTGGATCAAACCCTACTATGACCTCTACACGCGTCTTCTCTACCCATATCTCCGTGCAAATGTTCCTACCTCCGATTTATCCTCTCACCAACCCTAACGGAGTTCCATTCTCCATTACGATTCCAGTCACGATGCAACTGTTGTGGATAGAGTCGACTTTTTCGTCAGCATGCTGATTCATTTCTGGCTTGTTAACAACGATTTCTCGTTGTTCCTTCTTAGCGTTTGTAAAGCTCTCGGGTATGTGTTTAAGTTTTTCGACCAAATCAGAAGCTATGTGAAGTGAAAGTTAAAGTGAAATTAATGCAAATGTTTGTGACACTGTTGGAGTATTATTCACTCTCTTCTTTCAAATTAATTTGGTTCTTGTGTGTGTAGTGTATACTAGGTGTTAGATGAATTGATTTGGTTAGTTAGGTTGTATAATTGATGTGTTAGTATAGTGTTTATTTGTTTAAAGGAAAACTTTGAAATCGGTGTCTTGATTTAATGCTTGTTATAGATGACATATGCTTTAACTTCTGATATTCGGAATAGATATGTGTTGTGCCGTGTTATATTGTGAGGAAACGAGAGTGTTCTACTATTTTAAAATAAATTTCAATCTAACTAATATAGTGCTGATTTTTATGCTACACACATCATAAGTATACTACAAGTAACTTGTAGTCAGTGTTGTCAGTGTTGTCGATGGTAGATATCGGTCCATGGCGGAGAGCCGGAGAGACAAAATCCCACCATTAAAAAGTGGTGTGATGAATTTGCAGAATGGAGTTTTATTGTGGTTTGAGTCTTTTGGGTATGATATGCAGAACATAGTTCTGACTGAGCTGTTTTTGAAGCTCTTCAAGAGGGTAGAGTACACAATTCCAACTTGGCGCTGCTGCAGTTTTACTGCTTTATGTACTTTTCTGGTAGAAGGTATGCATGTTCGGTGTTCCTATTGTACCTGTTTCTATCAGTTTCTTCTGTTATGATAACTGTTAGTCCATATAAAGTAGTGATAATGATTATATAGGCAATACCATTATATGATTGACTAGCAGAGCTGGTGTGAGTGATCCCTTATTGGTTTTTCAGTTTATTATATATGGTTTACATTGACCATGTATATACTCTAAATCCTTGTTTATTGAGTTTGGTTGTATGATTTGTAGAAGGGGGATGTTGCATTCTCGATTCGAAGTTCGTTGGTTGTGACTCTCGAGCGTGTATTGGGAAACGAGACTATCGGTAATTATGCAATTCTTATGATTCTTTCTATTATGTCTTGTGTAGTGCTTCCTTCAATTATTACCGAAGGTGGTATAGTACATTCATGTGGTTAATCATGTTTAGTGTCAGAAATGTATTAGAAATTGTATTGAAGATGTCTGGGTAATTGGGGTGACAACAGGCATGTTCGTGGAAATGAATATCCTGTTTTTGTCCTTATTGCAGTTGAGCTATTAACCACAAACAAGTTTTCGGAATTGGCATGCTTGGCCTTGCAAATATGTCCTGCGAATTTGTTAGATTCAAGCTTTGTTTTGTACTTTAAAATTTCGGAAAGTTACGTCAAGGAACTTCCTTTACACTTTCAAGAAAACATCATAGTAAGTTAGATTCATCATATCTCAATCCAATGCTTGATATTACCAATACATCTTGCTAAAAGTGCAATTGTTCTGTTTTCTCTCTGTCGTTACAATAAATTGTCTAAGATGATTTCTTACGTTGTTCATAAAATCTGTCCATGTCGTTTGACAGAAGTTTATGGATGAAAAATAATTTTTTAGGCCGTCTTGGCAATATTGAAGACCTTGAATTGAGTGCAGCAGAAAGAAAGCTTATGCATGCTTACAATGAGAAACCTGTTCTTTCACGTCCACATCAGGAGTTTTACTTTGTAGGTCTAGTCTACTCATTGTAAATCTTCAATATTTTCTTTCAATAAATTTGCCAGCCTAGCTTTATGATGAAAAATATTTTTTTAGAAGTGACCATGGACAAGGTTTTATCTAATAAAGTATTGGTTCATTGTATAAATATCTTGGTATCAATTACTTAGTGAAGGTTTTTTAGAAGTGACCAACAACAGAATCTGCATTACCAGTACCATAAGAGCTCAAGCTTCAGGTGATAAACATGCTCCAATTTTTATGCTTGTGTGTTTTTGACATGTATGAATGTTTAATATGTGTGTATCTTCATTCAAGGTTCAACAAAATCTAGTACTGCTGAGGGGATTCCTGAGAAAATAGATTCCAAGGATGATAATCTAGTTTTTGTTGCTGGTGCTACTGGAAAAGTTGGTTCAAGAACAGTCAGGTACATTTTCACCTTTTGAGATAGAAACTTTTGTTTGCAAAATGCTAAGCAATGATAGTTTCATTCAGGGAGCTTATAAAGCTTGGTTTTAAAGTTAGAGTTGGAGTGAGGAATGCTCAGAACGCTGGTGCGTTGGTACTCTCACCGACAATGAATCAAAACTATATTTCTTTGAATTCTTTACTTTGGCTTTTTTACTTTCCACATCAACAATGAATCAAAACTAAGTTCAAATTAAAATATACTAGTATATGGTATAGTTCCATAATATAAGACATTAGTGATTGCATTATTAGTGAATTTTGATTTGGATTGTTTTTTCCTGTTAACTTTTTGAAATTTGCATTGTTTTTCCTCGTTAACTTTTTGAAATTTGCATTGTTTTTTCTTATTAATTTTGTTGGACAATTCATTATTAGTAACTTGATTGTGTCATTTTTAGTAATGTAATTTAGAACTATTTGTTATTGACTTTATAGTAATGTTTAGTTGCTTTAAAAATTTGAACATGATTAGTGTTGCATTATCTTATTCAAATTAGGCTTTTATTTTTATATTATTATTACCTTGATATTTAACATTAATTATAATATTTAAAATATGAATTAAACAAAATTAATGAAAAACTAATCATCAGAGAGGAATTACCTGGGAATTCACCATTTGCTTCGGATTTTCCTGCGAAAATTTCATTTACCTGCGAGCCTCCTACGATTTTACCTACGAATACTTCCTGCGACTTTACCTGCCAAATTAATTATCCACAAAGGTTTGGCTGAGAACAGAAATAGCAGAAAAAACCGTAGGTAACACATTTTTTGCGAAAATGTTTTCAACTTCTGCAGGTAAATTCGCAGGAAAATAGAGTATTTCTAGTAGTAGTTACATGTATAAATAAATTCTTATTTTTGTTTACATACAAAAAGATAATATGTTTTATCCCTAAGTGTTGTGCATTCTTATAAAGTGCAAAAAATAAGATTTTATGAGTCAATTTTTTCTTCTATTTATCGAAGTGTTGTGCATTCTTATAAAGTGCAAAAAATTATATCCTTCTCATTTAATTACTCTCTTCTCAGGAAAAAAAAAATTCTTTATGCATTGTTTTAGTGATAAGAGGGTGAAAGGTTTATATTGAGGGTTGTGTATTCGGTTGTTATGCTGAAACTGAAACTGTAATTCAAGAACATAGTTTTCTTATATATTTGTAATTAACTTTAAGGTTGTAAGATAAACATGGTAAAAATCTTGATGTAAGGAAGGTTGTTGGACAAACCCTTGTGTAATTAATGATGTAGTGAAAATTAAATCGATAAATTTAAAAAAGAGGAAGAAATTCATCTATGTCTCATGATAGATCAAAAAAAAAAAAGAGGTAAATATTCTAACTTCTGAAGTTACTTATAACCTCATCTATAAAAATTTAGATAACGAGTCATGTAAATTTAAAAAATCATTGTTTTTTATCTCTAAGCCAATTATATTCTTTCTTGAAAAAAAATCTATTAGAGGAGATAAATTATCTTAGAGAAAAACAAAATCTTTTAATACAAAACTCTCATTTCCATTCTTCTATTTCTTATGGAAATTATGGAGAACATATCAAGTATGAAAATTAAAACTTTTTATAAAATATAATTGATGACTTGTATAATACACTTGATATGTTAAGCCTCACAGGTTTCGATTCCCAACACCAAATTTTTCTATTTTTTCTATTCAACTATGTGTCCATTATTGACTATATTTAAATAAACTAAAAATAGTTTCACCACAGTTGCATCTGTCAACCATGGTTATATGTCACCTAAAATTAATATGTTTCACTATGGTTGGTGTCATCAACCATAGTGAAATGTGTTTCATTTTAATTAAAACATATCAAACTTAGTTTATTTTCTTCATAATATAAGTGTCCTAGCGAAGAAGAGATGAAAGCGATAGTGAAACAGACTTCCAAACTTCATCTTGTTACCTTTCACTCATTTCTTAAAACGTCCTCTTCTTCAATTTACACGGCGACAATTTACTTTATCTATTTCTTCATCTTCAAAGAAAGCGAGTGCAAGCATATAAGAAGAGCATTTCTTAGTCACAACCTCTTCTTCAATTTACGGTACTTTATCTATTTTTTTTCACTTTTTTCACCATTCATCTTGAGTTTTAGGTTTTGGTATTGTTAAATATTATATTGTTGTAATCGAACCATATTCCTATGTAGTGTTTGTATGAACCTCTAGTATGTGTGTGAATGTAGGTTGCATATATGTGAGAGTTTTGTTCTATATATGTGTATGTAACATATTAGTATGTGAGAATGTTGTGTGTATCATTAATGTGCCATTTGTGTTGTTATGGTTGAGTGATATTGGTATTGTTTTTATGTTGCTGGGAATGTTATATATTATTGTGATTAAATGGTATGAAGATGAAGATTTTTTATAACTTATTGTATTGCTGTATTGTTAAATGATTCTAGAATCTTTTGATATAAAATTCAGAATTTATTATGGATCGTAGTTGAATGAAAGTCGATAGATTAGATTCAATGTATAAAAAGGAGTTGTTGAATTTCTTGAATACGCGGAATAAAATCTTCCCAACAATAATTGACTTTTTCATTGTCCTTGTGTTGTATTTGGGAATATCAAAATTTTTGCATAGGAAGAAATATTCCATCACATATGTTGTGATAAAATTTGTCAAAATTATACAATATGAATGTGACACGGTGAAGTGGATACAAATCAAAATGCGACGACAAAAAGACATGAAGTTGGTTAGAATATATGGATGATTGATTAGAATATATGATTCGTGATATTGGATAATCTTCTTTTAATAAAGCTCATATTTATGATATATTATGTAGTGATGAGGATGCACCTTTATGTAAGAACAAGTTTGGTTATATATCTACATATCTTTATGTTTTGATGATAACAAATTGTAGAAGAATAATTTTGTGCACTAACCATTTGTTAAGTGTGGAGAAACTCAAAGATCAGAACATAATCTAAATGGAAAGAGTAAAAGTTGATTAAAGCATATTCTAATTAAGAAACGTCAGTTGCTTTTCTAGAGACAACTTTGATAGTTGAAGACTCTGAAAGAAGCCAACTAAGATTGTTAAATCAGAAGACAGGAAAGGCTAATGGAAAGCAAAGTCTGAAGCAAGGTCTAAACGACATCAACTTAAAATCCAGACTCTGAAGAAATCTACCATTGAAAAAATCAATCTTAATGCAGACTAAGTCTGAAGAAAGCAGAAAGAAAATTGAAGAAAGGAAAAACACATGTTGAACAAAGGAAGAATACAAAGATGTGTTTAAAAGCAAGTCAAACTTCAAGATTATCAAGTCAACGTTTCTGAACAGAAATCATCCAGACAGACTCTGATAAAGCTCTGACTACAAGTGTATGTGTAAGTCTCAGAACCCAATACTCAAAGGACTTTGAAGTCTCTCAATGTTCTGAAGAGAACTTCTGAATTTTTCTCAAGCTTCACCAAATTATATTATAAGCCTTTTACTAGAAGTTAGTAAGCAAATTAAATACTCTCTTACAGTCAACACACATGAGATGACAAAGTATTAAATGCTTTGACATTTCTTATTAACATTCATTATGGAGTATAGTACTTTCAAGCCTCACTCTGAATATACTTTGTAGTCTATATCATCTAGGCTCTAGACTCTGATCAAGCGTCACTGCATCTATTATATAAAGCCTCTGGTTATGACGAGTAGAATACTCAAGGAAAGTACAATCAAAAAGAGATTTCCTTATGAAAATGAATTATAATCTCTACTCAAGCTTAAAACCACCTTCATAAGAAGCTTTTGACTAGAAGATTTGAATTAAAGGTATTTACTGTTTAATGTGATAGAAGTTTAAAAAGAAAATCTACCTTTAAAGTAAAGAAGACTTCTCACGTCCCATCATCAAACAACTCTCTGCTACAAGCCCCACTCAACTGTCGTACATGAAAAAAAATTCATACAACAAATACTTCAAAGGTTAATTATTATTCTACCTTCCAACGAATCTATCCTCCAACGGATTTATTCATCCTCTATATATTATGAAGAATATGGAAAGTGAAAGATGCTGAAGAGAGAGTGGGCATAAAGA